CCCACCCACCCTGAAAACCCTGACTCATGCATTTGCACACATGGGGAAGCTGCTTCGGTTGTTCCATAGAAACAAGGGAGGAAGTTGGAAGGAATTTCCAAGTAACGTCTCACCGGATGCAAACAGTTTGCAGCGGGAGTAAAAAAAAAAGGGGGGGGGGACGCGGGGGCCGAGCACAAAGTGAGGCGCATGAGGGGGATATTTATAGGTGAGTTAAAGGCCACGGATGACGTGACGTGTTGCGGCAGATATGACAGCAAGGGGACTGCGAGTGCACTCAATTGGACTTGGAGCTCTGTCGCGACAATCAAGGAAGAAGAAATTCTGCAGCCACGCGAATGTCGCCACATGCTGTATGAACTGGCAGCAAGGCTCGTGTCCACTACGGAAAGCCATTTGCTCCTCTTTAGCAGAATCAGCGAGGGCCACGAGTCGCATGACCGGGTCTTTTGGGCGAGGTTTTGCCGCCCCTCGTTCCACTTTTGGTTTACGAGTGCCCAATTCCACCTGACGAATGAACCGCAATGCTGCACAAGTACCGCAGACCGTTCCAGGAGGCGCGCGTCTTACGCACTTGGAGCCTCGTGCGCCCAACTAGCACTGAAATGCCCACGAGTCGTTGAGCTTTGCTCGTGACTTATTGGCCTTTTCGGATGCCAAAATTGTTCTACCGGTGGAAAGAAATGGAAGACAGCGGTGGGAACAAAAATAGGACGAGTTCTACTAATGTGCTGAATTGTCTTACGAGTGATGACAAAGAGTGCTACGAGTTAGAAGGACCTTCAATTTGAATATCAAGTACATTGAAGAAATCCTACTTTCCATCGTGCCAATGAGCTTGTTTTCCCAAATGTGCTTCTATTTTTCTATTGATCATATCTAATATGATATCGGTTGTCACGTTCCAAGTTTGTCAACGGAATACTTCCTTTGCCGCCGTTGAGAGTAATATTCAAGGGGGGGCGTCAAGAGCCGCATGCAGAAGTTGCTGGGACGAACCTGTTTTGGTGCGGCGGCGAGTCCCGGGCGGTCTTCTTGGAGCTCGTCCGTCTCCTCCCACGAGTCTCCCTTCTCTCCATTGGAAGAGGCGCAAATTTGGAGGTCCTTGGCCTTCGCGGGGTCCACACTCATCTTCACCATAGAGAATGTGAGTAGCCCTCAGGTGCCCTCTGCAAGTGAGTGGCCTCAGTACGTGGCAAACGTCACCGGTGGGAGGCAACGTCCCGCAGCTGTACCAAACATTGAGTTGGGACGCTCCTCCTCGGCGGCGGCGAGCGGCTGCGCTTTGCTGAGCCTACGGCGCCCATGTGTCAAGAGCGCAGATCCCGATCCGCTCAGCCCTCTCGCTCATGGCAACCGAGTGAACGCGGTCATGTGGAAAGTTTATCTATCGGGAGCCGCGCGCTCCATCTGCTGCTATCTCCCCTCCCCACTGCACACTTGCGAGCGACGTCGGCCTCCCTCCCTCCCTCCCCTTTGTGTCCCGCGACTGGCTGACCGCCTCATGGCCAATCCCACGCCGCGGACCCCCTGGCCACCAATAGCGGGCATGCTTCTGCGTTCGTTTCAGCGCTGCCCGTTTGCCGCCTGGCGTCGACGCGCTGAAATGCACACGGGGTGCGAAGAAAAATGATTTGAACTCGTGAGACGGCGCGAAGAAATATAGGAACCGAAACGGGCAGCGCGGTGCTCTCGCGGCGAGCGCGTCCGCCTCACGCCTCGGAGGTTCGGCGTTCCAATCGGCGCTCGGGTTCTTCTCATGCTCGCGTGGGTTTTCTCCGGGTCGATTGAAAGGATTTTGCCCTGAGATGTCATGTGAACGCGACCGGTTGTGTATATGCGCCCTGCGGTCGGCTGGCGACCGGTCTGAGGTGCGACTCCTTTCACAGCCTTTGAACTGGAATAGGCTCCGGTTGAGTACCAACAACACTCGCGGAGTTGACACGCATGTACTCTGATGCTCTCTGTGTACCTGTGAGGTCATGTCATCGTCCTATTCTTATGCGCGACACTGAACTCCCCTTTTATTGTGTCTGAGCGAGTGAGTGAGACTGACTGAGTGAGCGCACGTGCGAGTGAATGACTGAATGCGAGCGAGTGAGTGAACACGTGAGCGAGCGCGTATGCGTTTGCGCACGTGTTAAATGACCCGAGCCTAAAAGGTGTCTGCTAATGGCTACCTTGCGCTGGCCTAAGTGCAAGGCCATTAGCGTGCATGCTGATCGGCCCACGGTGTCGGCGGCAGAACGGATCAGCGCATCCAAAGGCATCTGTGGCTCGTCAACACACACCCCGACTCTCGCCAAAGTCAAACCGGGTCGTGCTTTCGAAAACGTGCGGACGGCCGGTTGACATGTAGTTGTCAGTCTTTTGCCAACCGGAACGGTCCCGAAGTAGCGGACTCTGTGTCAACGCCCTCGTGCGGCGCCTCTGAACACGCTTGTTCTCTGCCGTGACCTCTGCTATATCCAGACTGTCCTCTCCCTCTCTCTCGTTCCCTCGCTGCCGCTCTCTCTTGCCGTTTTTTTCCATCCGCGGCTCGGCCCCGCTCCACAAATGGGACTTTTTATCCCGAAGCCGAAACGCGATCCGGTGAGGCTCGTGATAGATTCGTTCGTATTGATCCATGGAGAGTGGCTGAACAGGCTGAAAAAAAAATTCCGGTCCAAATCGTGTCACAAAGGGTGGGCTTGAAAGTCAAAATATAAAACGGGCTTAGCACCAAAGTCAGACACAATTTGGCCCGTCATGCTGGTTGACTTCCAAGTTGTTATGCTGTCAGCTCCGGGCTCTATTGAGATTGCTAAAATATATTTGTGGAAATTATTCGTACTTCATTCATCGCCTGATCCTGTTCCTGTCCAACGCTGTGACAGCCAGTTGTATTTAGCAGGTTATTATCACACATTTCCTCGAACTCAAACTACTGTTTTATGGCTGCGTGTGCGCGTGTGCACGCACGTGTGTGGTAGCTGGTTGGCCTCAGCACGGTTGCCGGGGAAACAGTGGGGGCCATGATGTCATTGCAGCAAAGTGACATCATCGCAAGATGGTGACTCATTACACTTTGCGGGTCTACATTTGCGCTATAACAGAACACGCGGAGGCGAAACACCTGTTTGACATCCACGTGTTTTAATCCATGTGACAAAAAGAAGTACTCCGCTTTTGACTTCTCGGGAAAGCATCTGACAAGACAAAGAGACATTTACAAATGATTCAAAAGGAAATACAAAACGTATTTCCTTCGTATTTCTGGTGATGTGAGTGGCGCATGTCGTCCTTTTCGCCGCCAAGAAAAACAAGACCATCTTTGGCACGTCATCGTTGGATTTTGAACTCAAGGCTCGACGCGAATGACAAAAAATATTGCATATTGCTTTTGGATGTTGAGTGTTTTTCTCTTGGGTCCAAAGTGGTCCTGATAACGACTGTGGTCCTTGCATGCATAAGGACGGTTGAGGGGGCCATTTGGTAGGATTATTTAACCCATAAGTGGAACTAAAAAAGGCAACAACAAAAAATACAGACGAGTGCACTTCATCTGGATGCAATCGTGAAGGGACGAGCAGAATAGTTCGTCTTTTGCTTTACTGGGCACCAAATCGTGACTTCCTCTCGTTCATTTAAATGACTGAAAAATGGATGACGGTTCGTTTTGAACATCCGGTCCAACTAAAATGAAGGGACATGATTTCCTAATTTGGCCTGACATCCCGCTTCCATCCACTGGGCGGCACTATAACACACAACACATCTCTCCATCTCCTTGACCGGCTTGTCCACGATGTCCTATGTCGAGACGACAATTTCTCTCCGAGTATTTCTAGTGTGTGTTCCACAGTGAATAAAACCACACACACACACACACACAGACGCACGGATGCGTGCGCGCGCGCACACACAGAAACGCACGCCAAATACCAGCAGAGCACAAAAGCGGGGACAATACTCGCGGTGTTTGCACACATGTACAATCCACGTACGTTGGGAGAACTAGACCGAGATGTCTTTTTATCACACAAATTATGCAAATACAAACCGGTGTATGAACACCTGCAAAAGTCCGTCAAACACGCACGCACACGCACACACACGAACTGTAGCTGTGTCATCTTTATGAAAGTAGTTCTAAGCTCCAAGTACATTTACATATTACATTGGTTCATAATCATAAATAGCATTGTAGTATAATGTCCATATCCATTTGATGCTAATTGCAGTATCGAAGACAGGAGGGCTTGCTATGTCACTTTGAGAAGATGGAGGGGGAGGAGCAGCGATCCATCCCCAGCGCATGCGTGCAAGGGATATTTAGAAAGTCGGCACAAGGTGCTAAAAGTTGGACGCTGTCAGAAAATACTTCCTGATGACAACACGTCTGATCGTAATCGGCGAGCATAGCTCCTAAAGAGCTCGTGTCCGTTATCTTTGCACGGGAGCCGAGACACGCCCAATTCAAACGACCGCATCCCAATCTGTCATCATTCTAGCGAAGATGGTCCATCTTGTTTGGGGTCTTGGAGCTCGGCTGATTTATTTCGAGACGACGGTGATTTTAAGGTGCCGATGTATGCGCCCCATCCACATAATCAGGCCAATGTATCCACAAAATTCAAGTCATTTCAAGTGTGTTTAGCTCTCTCCTTTCCAGTTCCACTTTGTGCTTTCACGTTGACTAACAGGTGCGCCCACATCACAGGGCTCCCTTTTCAACCTTTTGCTATCCCCCCCCACATTGATTTTTTTTTTTTCCTTTCGAGATCAGAGCGGAGTTCAACAGAGTTCCTTCCTCTACCTGCGCCACAAATCAAAGCGCTTCCCTTTTGACATTTCGGGGGAAGAAAGACGGAGACAAAACGAGCGAGAAGAGGACGGCAGAGGGAGGAGAGGCGAGCGAGCGAGACGCTGGCTCCGCATTCAATTGGAGACGACCGTTTGGCCTTGACAGGTAATAGTCGCTGTCTTGAGTCATGCAATTATCGTCACTTCTTGCGCATCTTCAACGTAAACGTCATGCGTTTAACATGAGTCCATAATTTGCCATCGCGACGGGAACGCGGTAAGAAGTTGACATTTTACTTTGTAATCGCTTGCACAGAAACAATCCTTTATCGGAGACTCTTTTTTTTTTTTTTCTCCTGCGACTCTGGGCGGGCTTCAAAACAAGTAGCGTGTCATCTTCCCTGACACTGTTTTGAATCATGAACTTTTTCATGACGTTTGCTTTAAGACCAGATGTCATGTTGTACGGTAATCCATTTCAAAATGCGCGAGGGGATTCGACCGATGCCACCCAAACACGGCAGTGACGCGTTCATGTGGACACGCGTGCGCTGGTCACCATCCTGGCAAATTTTCAATCCTCTTCCTATCGGTGTCGTCATTCCAAATTGGAATCTCTGTTCTTTTTGGGATGCTTTTCTAAATATCCCTTGATTCATAGTGATGAAACGAACAAAACCGCCGCAATTTCTCTAAACGCTGGGGGGCGGGAGAGGGGAGAGGGGGGTCTCCTGGCAATCCTCGATTTTTCCTCCCTCCATCTCCTCCACTTTCCTCTCTTGAGCTCCCCCCACTCCACAAAACGGGCGTCTACTTCTGCATGTCGCACTGCAGCAGTAAGACGATGGAGGGGTCCGACTTGGCCGCCTCCTTGAACTCCTCCAGGGAGATCTCGTCGTTGTGGTCCTTGTCCATCTTAGAGAAGATCTTGTCGACACGCTGCTGCGGGGTCAGGCCGTCTTCGTTCATGCGCATCATAATCACCGTGCCCACCATCTTGTAAATGGCCTACAGAGGGGGGAAAAAAAAAACCAAATCGAGAACTTTTCAAATAAATCGGAGTCTGGATTCCTGATTTACGAATCCAAATTGGGTGTTCACGCCACCTGATTGCGCGTGCCGTTAGTGGGCATGTTGCGCGCCATCTACGAAGGTCGCATCCGAGATTGTCGACTCTCATCTGTCCGATAATTTGGGGAAAGCCAGTAACGGCGTAAAAGTCCCTTTTTTTCCTGTTTGAACTACAAATTGGGGGCTGTGCACCCAAAACAAAAAAATCGGAATGGGCCTGCGCCAAATGGACCGAAACGGCCGCAAGGAAATCCAGAATCCAAAGCAAAGTTTTGGCATAAACTGCATCGTTGAATATATTCATTGGGTCCCAATAACGTCTGTTTCCGGCATTTCCAAAATGTACGCCTTCATTTTGTCCACGCCGACCGAGGCAAAGATGCAAGTCGGCGGTACAACGTAACCCGGTTGACATCCCGCGGTCGACGCGTCCCGTAGATGCCCTCCTCATTGACCCACCTCGATGATCTCCAACATCTCCACGCGGGTGATCTTGCCATCGCCGTCCAGGTCGTACATGTTGAAGGCCCAGTTGAGCTTCTGCTCAAAGCTGCCCCTGGAAGTGATGGACAGGGCGCAGATGAACTCCCTGAAGTCGATGGTCCCGTCGCCGTTCTTGTCGAAGGTCCGGAACGCGTGCTGGGCGAACTTGGAGGCGTCGCCGTACGGGAAAAACTGCAAGGGAAACGGTTTTGTCTCTGTATCGTGACGTGAAGCGCAAAACAGCAAGGGGGGGGGGGGGCACTCGTTCCAAACGGGTCACGCTACCCGAACAAGCTACTCATGTTCCAGCTGAGTCCTTTCGTATTTATGGAAACAAAGTACAACGTCGCCTTCCGGCGAGGCGTCGCTCATAAGCGTTTGAACTCTCCGTAACCTCCTTCGCCAAATTGCGACATGCTGACCTTCACGTAGAGCTGTTGAAACTCCTCCAGGTTGAGGATGCCGGAAGGGCAGTCCTTGAGGAAGCCCTTATACCACTGCTTGAGCTCGGCCTCGTTGAATTCCGTGTTCTTGGTCAGGTCGTCCAGGACCTCTGGGGCCAGCTTGCTGTTGTGTTTCCCCATGATGCCTCGCCTCTCGAGGGGGGGGACAAAAAGATCCAGACAAAGAACAAAATAGGGTCAACGCGGCCGAGAGGGTTTGAACGCAAACGGGAGCAGCAATGGGCTTGTATGATGTCTGTCGTTGGATATGAAAAGTCCATCCACGCCCGTTCAAATGAAAAAATGAGACCGCGATAAATCATTTCCAAACTTTTTTCCACCGTGAATGAGACCTGAAACCTGTACAAGCCATCTGAGTGCAAGTCAAAGAAAGCCACTGAAATAATGTGGTTGCACAAGTGTACACACCCCAACTGTGGCTTTTACAACCAGTCGCATTCGAATTCGTATTAAATGAGCATCAGCAGATTGAATGTGATTGGTTCATTTTGAACATAGCAACATTCCACTTCCAACATTTGTGTTGTGCAGGTTACAGGCCAAATTCATGGCGGAAAACATCTCATTGTATCTGCATACGGTATATATATATATATATATATATATATATATATATATATATATATAGCCATTGCCTGTACAGGATGGCAGTACAATTGAAGCGCACCCTCGTCATTGTTGTTATGTCACCTCATGCCGGAAAAGAACCAATACAAGCTCATCGCACCACATCATGGTGTCACCACCTGGGTAGGAAAAATAGAATAGATGGACTCCATTGAACGGTACGGTTTCATCGATGCCATTACACCGACAAGACACTCATAAAAAAAAAAATGACCTCTCATCCCCACGCCCGATAGATAGTTCTTACGGACATAAAATGGCCCGTTAACCCCCCGCGGACCACCGCAGTCCCTTGGCGACTCCATCCGTGAGTCATAGCCCGCGTCTGACGGCTTTTTCGCACTTGCGCACCGGGACGCGGCGGGCGGCCGCAAATCCTCGCCCTCTAAAACTGCTCATCCGGGAGCTTTGTGGCCAAAATATGACCAATGAGTCACGCGGCGAGAGCGAGGGGCGGCCAATCTTCTCCGCAAACCGCAGCGGGATTGTTTTGCAGCGGGAGAGCGACGGGGTTGCAAGGAGAGGAACGGAGGACATTGCGCTCGGCCTCTGACTTGGCTTTGAAAATGTCAAGCCGAGACATGAAAAAAAAGAAAGCCTTCCGCGCGAGCCGACAAATAAGGTTCACGGCGGCGTGTTTGCTCCTAGAATCCTGATGCTTCAAGGCCACCGACTGAGACAGATGAGATTCTTCCCTCGGTTAGGGAGCAAACGCGGCTCATAATCGAGTTTCCTCGGCACGACGTCGAGGCGCTCCGTTAGCCGAGCGAGGCGAAAGCCGTCGAGCAGCGATCCCGTTTGAGGGAATCAAAATAAACAGCGCTTATGACGGCACGGCGGGCGGGATCGGCGACTTCATGCAAATTATTCCCTGCGGGCTTCGCGTTCTGGCCAGAATCTTAAAGAGCTCGAAATGGTTTTGTGTTTGGCCATTGGCTTGGACCAGACAATTCAGCGCACGACCGAAAAAAATGCCACGACACTCTAATATATACCGACGAAAACAAACTATAATGATCAGGAAATGTCCCCAGTGTTTGTCTTTGACAATCAGTCACACTTTCCAGCCAGTCGCTCATTTGCCCGTTTACTTCTTCATGAGTGGCCGCGGCGCTCGACGGAGCTTCGGCTCCCGAGAAACAACTCGTGTCATGCGCTCTGACGTGCGGCTCATTCGATGACAAAACATGAAGAGCAAAGACGCGCGGCTCGGGTTGCCAACTTGCCGGCGTGCCATCGAAGGGGGCCGAGTTGGTGTGGCAACCGGTTGACGTCTTTGGCGAGGCTCTAAACACGTCAGAAACATGCTGGCGCGTCCTGGTGTTTCTCTCCTTTGGAGCAGTCAAAATGTCCCCACCAAGGAGGACAATCGGAGAGAGAGAGACACACACACACACACACACACACACACACACACACACACACTCTTCATCTCGGCACAATCAGGACTTCCTTCATTTGGGAGGTGGAAGTTGTCAAAAAAAAAAAAAGACTGATGTCATTTTAAGGTGCTATGTGCCAGCCGTACATTGATCCGAATGACGCAGGAATAAGAGACCCTTGCACGGAGATGACTCAATGTGGATCCCCGCTTGCGAGGAAGCCGACCATTGCGGGGGAGAGACGGCTCGTGAACAGATGACAAAGATCGATGGCGGCCCGAGCGGGCAGAAGGGAGGCATCCGGCGGGAATTTAGAGCAGCGGGCCTTAGATAAGACAGATGTGCGTCTTTTGGGGTAACTAAGGGGCGTGCGTCCACTGTCTCAGTGCAGCTGTCGGACCGAAAGCAAACACAAATCAGAGCCGCAGACGGGCGGGGCGCCCGCCGCGTGTGTTATCTCACGCTAGGGTTCACTTCTGATGAGTGTCAGGTCAAACTCTTGCTGGAGCGATGAGACGATTGGCGCGTCGCCGATTCGGAATTGAAATTGTTCGCGACGCCATTAATTCCGACGGGCTTGATCTTTCATGTGTGATCGCTTCGTCTAGCCTAAGGCCCGCCGCACACCGGGCAGCCCAGCGGAAGCTGGATGGAGTGCCAAAAGCTCGGCCGCTGCAACTTCCCCAAGCTGACGCTCCGTTGGACTTCTTTGGACATCACACGAGTTGATGAGCAGAACCTTTGTTGGTCGTCTCAGACTTTTATTCCTCCGTTCGAGACGCAGCGAAGCAACCATCGCTTCCAGACAATTGACATGCGTGTTACGCCCATCCCTCGCCTTAAAAGTCTGCCATTGTGCTTCATTTCCAAATCGTATAACCGTGGCGGAGTACCGCGCATGCGGAACCAGAAGCGACACATCACTCTTGCGAGGATTTCTTTTCCGTGCGAGAAGAAGCAAATGAGGTCAGAAGGCAGCGTGCCTACGCTCTCATTATTATGACAATCAGGCTCAAACGCAAAGCTGAAAGCCGAGAGCGGCGAGACAAAAAAAATGTTGCTGTGACTGAAAATGACCTGGGAGAACCAAATCAGTGAGTGTGTGTGCGCGTGTGTGTGTGTGTGGGGGGGTGGGGGTGTGTGTGTGTGTATATATATATATATATATATACACATATATAATTTCCATTATGCTGCTTAAATTCTACTCCCCCTGGACAGTTTATTAGATACACCTTTACCATTGAGCGCTAAAGCATAGAATCGTGCCTTCTCCAAGATAATCCGTGCTTGTTCTCTCGTTTTGCCTCTCTCTGCGCGCAGTTTCTCAGTCTGTTTCTCTCTGGGGTGAAGCTGGCAGTCAAACAGTGAGATCATTCACACTCTTAAGTACAGAACAGCTAAGCAAAGATAGGGGGGGAAAAAAAGAGCATCACCGTCAGTGTGCGTCCGACTGAGCCCGTGACTAAGCATTCCTGAACGGACACACAGCCTTTTAAAAGTCACTGCGTGTCATGAGGCTTTAACAGAATCTTGTCGGTCCATCAGAGGCGAGAAGTATGAAAAATGTGAGTTGCTAGGCGACGGCGGGACACTTAGCGGCGGTATCCATAAATGTGAGAAATAAACTAAAGGCAGATGATTGATTTTCTGCTCCGAGGTAGTGTAAATAAAAGAACGGTAATTCCCAAGCATGCATTTTGGATTGCGGTGTATGATAAACGCAATAGGTCGGTTCAGGAAAGTACATCACAAGAACACAGTTTCCCCCCTTCACTATGGTTCATTGTTCACGCCTCCGCGGACTGTTTTTTTTTTTTTCTTTTTTTTTTTTACAATATACGGTCATCCTTCAACTTACTGAATTATCTTGCCATCACTCGGCAGATTGAGTGTGCAAAAATTAATGCTACATGCGCTAAGTAGTGCCATTGAACTTCACAAGCAACAGATTGTGTTCTCAAAAAAAAAAAAAAACACAGGACCAGTGCTTGCTTCGTATTCCCATTCCCAGTTCAAATTTAAAGAGAGTTACACATTGTGTCAAGTATTTTAACCAGCCCCCACAAGTTACAAAAGCCTGCTAGCTTGATAATAACACACAATACAAAAAGCCATTGGGGGATAATGAAACTCTCATTGATGCTGCAGTATTTATGACTCTTTAAGCAACAGATAGTTAAGCACAATCGGTGCAGAAACACATATAGACAGACAATATGATACCCACAGGCTTGTATTATCTCTGCACAATATGACAAATATGACTGTGGATTACTGGGACACCAACTTGTGAAACTCTTCTTTGTGTCTATTTTTCTATGTCTGAAGAAGCACAACGTCAGTCGCCTGACGTGTGGGCACGACTGTCTGTTTTTCGCTGTTGTTCAGCTCAGTCGCCTTTGACCGCATTGCTCGGTGTGCGGCGGGCCTTAGTGTTGCTGTACTTGAAGCTTCTTTTCACGCAGCTTCAGCTCTCATTCGGGCCCTCACAGTCAATCATCTGCACTCGTTCAATATTAATGAGGCGGCGTCGTGAATTTGCTCAAATCCTCGGCGACACCTGTGAAAAGGATCTTAATTTGCATTCAAAGAGAATCCCTCCTTCAGATGATTATTCAGGCCTGTTCCAGCGAGGTGTCTCACTGTACCGGACGAGCTTGATCTGACAAGGGGACAGTGAACGAAGCGCTTGTTAGCAACGTGGGAGAACTGGATGCTTTTCAAAATCAATACGGTTTTAAATCTCATGACAGAAATATTGAATTGTAAATTAAGGACTCTTGGAACTTACGGTTTTGCACCACAACTGTTTGTAAACATTCATTGTAATTGGGAACAATATGTACCCATTCCGTGACTAGCGGCTAGCACGTTTCTCGTTTGCCTCACTGTTTTGAGTTCAAATCTAGGCTCTGAACTTCCTATGTGGCGATGACAAGGTTTCCCTGTGCTTGGGTGTTCTCCCCCCCCCCCCCCCCCCCCCTTGGGCATGTAGTCACAACAACATGCATGCACGAACACAGTAAAAAAACATTTTTTGTTCTACTCCGTATGCAATAATAAAGAAATGCAGCTGTTGCATTAGTGAAACTTAATCCACATGTGCGGAAACCTCTTAAGTTT